CCCTCACATTTTTGGGAATGCTTTGCAGTCCCTGCTGAGGCTGTGGGTACTCAGAGGTAAGGCAGGGCTGCAGAGAGCTGCAGCACCCACTGCTGAGGTGCAGCCACGTCTGTTGTGGTGTGTGGCAGAGGTTCCACAGAAAGGATACTGGCACCACACAGTTTTTTGAGGGAGAAGACGTGTTCCAGCAGGGAACATGGGAGGCAGACTGAATTTATGTGGGTTAATGTTCATGACAAAGGGCTGCGAGATTGCAAATGCCCCCACGTGGAAGTGATCAGAATAGTGCAGGACCCCTCCGAGCGCTTCCGAGGCTGGGGCAGATGCTGAGCTCACAGGCTGGGCTTACCTTGGTGCTCTCCTGCGGCACTTGCTGCACATGCCAAGGACACCCAACCCATCACAGCTGGGCTGGAGAAATGCCTCCCTGAGGGGGTGGCCTGGCTGCATCCCTACTTCGCTCCTATCCATGGGGCGGAGCAACACACCCACGGGTGGCTTCAGTGAGTGGATAAGAGCTCATGGGTTCGTTTGGTTCTGATGCCAAGACATCTGTTGTGTTGGGACGGATCGAACTGGCTCCTGGGTGCAGCTGCAGCCTTTGAGGTGTTGAAAGCTGCTAAGCTGAGCTAGTGGGAGGTTGTGAGGAGATCCTGGAATCCCCTTGGCTGTGAGAGCTGACAGATGCCAGGGGACATGGGAACCTGGGGTGGGTGGCACAATGCTGACACAGCAGGGCAGGTGTCAGCATGGTTCTATTGCTCAATCTATGATATGATGTTTGAGCTGCTTTCTGTCACGGCAGAGTCCCCTGGAGGTGAGCAGAAAGTGGGGTGTCATGGCACGCTATGCCAGTTGAGGCATGTGCAGTGAGCCAAGGCACCACATGTCTGCCCTGGGGTGTTATGCCTTCCCTATGCCAAGGACTGTCCCAATGTGAGTGCTCCTTGGGGGGCTCCCCACACTGGTGGGCACCCTTATACTGCAGGAGGGAAATCCTACCTAGGAAGCAGCAAGTGTGGCTCTTGTGTGCAAGACACGTCCACCTTGTGCAGGTAGTGGCAGGAGGGGCAGGAGAATACGAGCAGGGTGGGAGAAGTTATGGGGGTTTTCAAGCAGAGGGTTCATGTTCTCTGGACTTTGCTGCATGATCAGTGTCCCAGGGAACATGTGTTCCTACCTGGCATAGGCTGCTGTGGCTTGCCCAGTCCTCTGCTTGCTGCTCCTTCTTCCTATACTTTTGGGAATACCGCTGCCTGGGCAAGTGATTCCCAAGCATTGCTCCTGAGCATCAGAATCGCTGCAGACATGGGTCACCAGTGAAGCTGGAGGTATCCCCTGATATCTGTTCTCTGCAACACACGGTGCCCTAAACACCCTCCAGGCCTTCCCATCCCATTTTGGCCATGACCATCCACTCTCCAGGGCAGCAGATGCACCAAAGACACCCAGCAGCGCCCATGCCTGGATCCCTGCTGAGAGGAGGGCGCGATCCTGCTGGGCTTGGGGACTTGGATGGGACATCTGGGCTTGGGAAAGTATGCCTCTTCCTTTCTCACCCCTGAGCTGGAATCTACTCCTATTAATAGCAAATGGCTGTCGATAGCTGTTGTCAGCAGCAGGGACAGGGACCAGAGCAGTGCCTGCTGAGCCCCTCCTGTGTCCTGTCCATGCTGGCAGGCAATTGGCCCCACCAAGATGGTATCAGGGCTGGACAGTACCTGGTAAGTGCTCGTCCATATCCTTGCTGCTGTATGAATGCCCCCCTTTGCCACAAACATGTCCCAGCCTTGCACCCTCCTGTTCCTGCCCTCATGGGCTGGGATGTGCCAATAGCCTGTCTACACTGATGGGCATGCTGGTAAGGACAAGTCAGAGCAGGAGCCCACGTGTGAGCCTGTGATCTTGTTGTGCCAGTCAAGTCAGGCATATAATCCTTAGGGGCCATATCTCCCTGCTTGGGGCAAATCTGGGCCCCGCACCCCTTTGCCTGGAGCTGGTTGCCTAGAAGGGCTGGTGATAGCCAATGTGTCTACTCATCTGAGAAGAATCTCTGGTGCACTTCTAGGGCCAACTCCAGTGACACAGTCGGAATCCAGGCTTTGCTGGCAGCTCTGGAGGAGAGTGATGGTATGAGGCATATTGAGTACTGTCCTACCCTCAGGAGCTGCCCAGGAGGGCTTTGCCCCCTCTGGATCTCCACAATGGACACACCCCCAGCTGTGGGAAGCTCAGGACATGTCCTGTGGTCACTGCACTCCGTGGGTGACACAGGACATGCAGAGGTCCTGGCATGGGCTCCCCCATCCTCCCTCCTGCTTTTCCTAGGGAAAGGGTTTGTGTGCGGCAGGACCCTTATGCAGCTCTGTGTAGGCTTTTGGGTGGTCGGGTGCGTTGCAACTGTGGGATGCTGGGACAGGAGCTGAGCGACTGACCTGGCACGTTTTCCTGTGGCATTTCATCCCTGTGGTAGGGTCATGCACTGATGTGAAGATAAGGATTTGATGCTCATTTTCTTCTTCTGCTGTGGGTCCCAGGGCTGCTTTCCCTGGTGGGAGGAGGGTGTTTGCATTGTAGCTTGCTGCCCAAACTCCTTGTGGTGTGGGAGCTGTGCTTGTGAAGTGCCTTGTCTTGGGGCAACGAGAGGTTTTGTCTGTTCTGCAGCAGCTGCCAGAGCACTGGTA